TGGTCACATGCATTTACCTCTGAATGCGGTTTCAGCGATCTGATCACAAAATGTTTTAGACCCTGTTTCCACCTGTATTTAGTGGAGATCACGTGTGATCGGATCACAAAAATTGCATCGTTATACCTGGTGGCAATAGGACCTCTGTATTCTCTGCCGTCTTTGTAGAGATGTGACATTTCTCCCACCCACCTTTTTTTGTGTTTGTGTGCATCCTAAGCCATCTGCCTTTTCTTTCTGGATCATGCTCCCTTCTCAGTCTTTCATTGCTTTCCCTGCCTTTATATCCCATCACGCCGGTATCATTGTCATATGACAGTGGCTGTGAGGAGACCTGACCTAGGAGCCATGACTCATTCTCAACAACAGAAACACATCAACACGACCTGGAGAGCTGCCATTAGACTGCCACAGAGACCCCACATCACAGCACAAACAACACACCACGGATTTTCAACACTTTAACGTCTCAGATTGCCAGTTATTATTTTCTTGTGCCTGACTAATTTATTTATATGAACAATTTTTTTTATAGACCCATGATTGTGGTTGTTATAAGCCTTTTTAATCATCAAAATATTTCTAATATTTCTAAGGTATATATCACTTTTAATATTGCCAACACCATATGAACAAAGACCAAATTCTTGAGCATTTGGTTTATCTGCAGTTTTAGCGTTATAAAAATGAAAATTGCTAAAACTAAATAATTAGGAACTGGCCAAATTTGAATCATTTAAGGCAGTGTTTATATAAGTTTTTATAAATCATGCCCATCTATCATTGAAAGTGGTAAACAGTTTTAGTTTGCTGTCAAAAGCAAGTCCATAAGCAAGCTCCTAAGTTAGTTTAGAACCAACGCTCTCTTTCTCTCTTGTGTTTTGTTTTTGTGAATGGTCATGAACCCATCACAGTATTTGTTATTTTTTAATCAAGCTAAACCATAAACGTCTCCATTCCATAACTGCTAACAAACAGAAAGCCTTAAGTGTCTAACAGTTCGACAGTAAATGTTCTGCAGCTAAAATCTGAAGCTTATTATTTGCTAGAAAGCTTTTTCCTGCTGTGAACTCTGAATAGTTCCATTTAGACTCTTCAAATGATCTGTACTTTCCAGACAGAGTAATGGATTACAAGCACTCAAGACAGCTTTGAAAGTTAGCAAGCCCAAACCGATGCAAGTGTGTGTGTGTGTGTGTGTGTGTTGACTCCCTGTGGAGAAGTTCTTCCATAAATTCTGAAGCCGATCAGAGAAAAGTCATTCAGTGAGGGGGAAATCAATTTAATTTAAAGCTCTCATAAGCAGGTTTCTAGCTGACGGCCAGTAAGAAAGAATCTGGCTTTAAAGAAGTCCATGGAAAATTAAGAGAAAGCTTCTATTACAGCGGAAGGCTGTAATATAAGCAATAATAGCTGCCTACTTGCTGTATCCCAGCAGGTTTATTCTCTTTGTTCACCAGGGTCTGGATTCCAGTAATCTGTATTTGTCACTCAAAAGTACGTAGAACTTGTACGGTTGTACCTCGGATATACAAACCATAAGCAAGCAGTGCTTGATTGATGTTGATCACTTAATCTTCACTTTCCTCATTTCCAGACAGCATGACATTTATGGAAATATTGCATTGGAATGCTCAGAAGTAGAAGGAGAACCCTTCTGCGTGTGCCCTCTTGACTTCGTTGTTTTCTTGGTCATTCAGAGCTCTGTGATCATCTCTCACCAACTGCTCAAATGTAGATTCAACATGCTCAATCGGCTGAAACGCTTTTCTTGTTATTATTGGCAACATGCTTTTTGCAGAAGCTCATTCGGGTAACTGCATTTAAAGGGGCATGCTGCTCTTCTCCGCTGCTTGTAACAGAAGAGCACCCCTTTGCTGCTGTTCTTCTCCTGTAAGAGGCATGCTGCCCCCAGTCACTTCTATTTCAGAAGGACATGCTGCTCCTTTCCAAAATCTCCTATTGTTGTCTGTCTTTTTCCAGTATCAGGGCATGAACTGCATCAATATCTGGGTATTGGGGCAGGTGGGGTTGGGGAAATCTTGGCACTCAGATTTTTCGCTTTTAGTTTGTGGTTGGGGGATGTCGGCATATAGTTTTGTTTTAGGAGGTTATTGCTGTGTTCCCTGCTCTTATTCATGCTAGGCTGCATGGAGGGGCAGGGAGTTATTGCTCAGAACAGAACCATACCGTCAATCCAAACTGAATGCTACTTGTCAGTCATCTTTGACTATAGTGGTCCTGACAGAAATCAAGCATAGTGTTAGTTCTAGCAGGTCACATAGGTCAAGTTCACATCAGCTGACTCTCAGCCGATCCACGTCTGCCTATAGGAATACTATGCGTATCACAGCATCCCTATTAAGGTCCATTCAGTCTTTTAAGCAGTTTTATTTTGTTGCTCAGGACTTGGTCTTCTGATATTCCTCTTTGAATCAATCATTTATCATGATTTGTTGTTTCATTAAACTATTGTCATTAAGAACATTAAAAATATATGTAACACATTTATGTTGGTTCTGTTCTGTTTACCCTAATGGGGTTATCGCTGCGCTCCCTGCTCTTAGGGAGTTCTTGCCCAGAACAGAATCTTTGATGATAGTGGTTCTGACAGAACTGTGTTTAGTCCATTGTTCTGACCCTTCAACCACACTTAATGTGATTTCGTCACTAAGGGACATGTTACTGGATCAACAATATCGTTGTTCCTGGAACAATATTTATGTCAACCAATAATATCAATATCAATAAGTCAATTTTTATTCATTCGAAATCACAGACCTTTTCTTCTCCACATGTGATCACACTCAGACTCATGAACATCTTTAATGTTTGGGTCATTCAACTGCCCTCACACCAACATGTTTTCACTGTTTCACCATCTTTAATCCTCTCCTTATTATACCCAGCAGGGCGGTGTATTTTCCAATCACGTACTGGCTCATTGGAGGGCTGTGTAGGGCTGCGGTGCCGGAAGGTTGACATTAATAATGTGATTGTGCTTTGCCCTCTCTTATCCAGAGGTGGCAGAGGGCAGGCCTCCTCCTGCTGCTGAGAGAGAGAGGCAATCAGCATTTAATCTGCAAGACTGATTAACTTCTCATTACAATCAGACACACACACACCATGCAGGCACTCAGACACACAAATTCATGTACAAATGCACTGGGCCGCACGCAGACATATGCACGCAACATACACTCTCACACTCCAGAGGTGGATCTGTAATTATGCCTTGGAGATCAAGTCAGGCCTACTTGCAATCAGTATTATTTATGCATTTATTTTCAAACTGTTTGTAAGGAATATGGCAATGACAAGAAAAGAATGGCTCAAGTGTCATGCCACGGTCTTTGCTGAATCACCTGGGTCTCTCTCTCTGCTCAAGTGCCATTTCAATCAGATACATTTTGATTGTGAATAGAGTAAAGAGCATTAAGCTGCAGTTTTAGTGTTAGAAACATGAAAACTGCTAACACTAAATCATTGGTAACTGGTCAAATGTGGATCAGTAATGACAGTGTTTTTAAATGTGTGTGTGTGTATTTATATATATATACACACATACAGTATATTGTGGTGGGAGGAGCAAACGACAGACACAGTGGGTATTTATGAACATAAAAATAAACAAAATGTCCAAATAAGGGAATGCATATGCAAATTAGCCTCGCCTCACTCACACAAGCTCAGAATACCTGATCAACTCGGTCAACTTTACTGTAGTAAACGCTGCACAATGGCAAGGGAAAATGCTGGTTTAATTCAGCCATATATATTTGAACCAGAAACTGATTCAGAAGAAGAAGTGGAAGAGTGAATTAGTGAATCAGAATGGTAATGCATTTTATGTATCGCTCTTTACAACGTCGAACACATAACGGTAGTTATTGATTAGCCTTTTGCTTGACTACATTATCATACAGCTAATAATGTGTTGCTAATCTTAAACAAACCATGTTCCCATAATTGCCATCTCATCATAACATCGTAATATACCTAATACACCCTCTATATTGCTAAATGTAACCAATTTTCCTATCAACAGAAAAATATACTTGGATAACCTGGCTTCTCTTGAGACTCCCCTGCTTCACAGCAGTTACTGATAGACTTAACGGGATTGGCTAGGTAGTTTGTGACGTCAGAATCACAGATTTGAGTTTTGAGACTTCACTGCAGTTTAAGGAGAAAATACTCAGCAATGGTGTTGACTTATGAATTTGCACATGGTTTGTCTTAAAGCATATTAAAAACACCACATAGACATTACATAGACAACATTAAAAACTAGATTTTCACCACAGGGGGTCTTTAACTTTTTAGTAAGCAATATGTTGTATAGCTAACACAAACCAAATTGCTCAGTTTTCATGTCAACCAATTATTACATTTGCAATCAGTGATTCATCAAACAACATGAAAAATATATTTGGCAATGACTTGAGTGCACAGTTTTCAGTTTTCTCCAGTTTAAATATCAGATCATGAAGAATACACATAAAACTCTTTTTGCTCTCCTCCACTGACAGAAAGACGAGCACACAGTTTTGAGTTTCTAAACCATGCTCCTTACAACCTTGGGATACGCACAAATAATTTCAGAAATGTCAGTTCAACTGAGGCGTGTAAATAAAGGCTTCTCTGTTGACACCTCATTTGAATGCTGAGCAGATGACCTCTGCATTTATGAAGGTCTAGAGGAGAAACATGAAAATTCTCAGCAGAGAACCAAATCCAGTCCCGTTCTTCAAACATGAGTGCACTTACAAGCTGAATAACAAAATGATGGGTATTTTTTTATGCCTTCAGAAAAATGTATTTCAGTTTCATTATTGAGATCTTATATTTAAGATCATTACATAACTGGCTAAACTTTACCAATGGGTAACAAAAAAAAAAAGATCATGTTATTGACTAGATTTTTTCATTCAGATTTAACAACCTGTTGTCTGTGAAATATTTGAAGCTAAAGAGTTTTTGATATTCTGTTCTTCCAGATTGGAGACAGCAGTTAGCCTCGCACCCAAAGTTGAAGAGGAGAAAGTGAAAACGAAAGACACGGTCACAAAAAAACATGAGAAAAAGGGACACACAAAACGCAGAGGAAGCAAACGCCACAGTCACCGCCGAGCTCGCAGGTCTGTATCTTCTAAAGCTGTTCCTCATACACACATCTTCCATCAAAGACATTTCAGTGCTTAGGAGCAAACACTTCAGTGTTTATATGCTAGAAAATAAACTATTTGTATACTCTCTGAAAGTAAAATAGCTGATTTAAACCAACCTTGAAGTGGTTGAAAACAGCATGTGCTGTTGAAACCGTTGTACAATTTAACCATAGAACCTATAAAGCTATTCAAATGTGAATTATATTTTGACCCCAAAGAAGATCAAACACATAAAAATATGAAGCACTGAATAAACTTCTAAGCTTCTTCCTCACTCTGTGAGAATGAATTAGAAACCTCAAACTTTAAAGCATGGCAGGCACAAACACTCTTATCTCCTTGCCACAGTGTAAACATTCAGGTGTTGCTGGAATTTTTTAACATGGGTGTCTTTTATGGGGTCCTCTTACTTCCCATCCACAAAAATTTAAACTCCACCTGGTGAAAGGAATTGATTCAGCATTGGATTCTCAACGGCATAATTCCACTGATACCTTCAAAGTGTGCGCGATAACACAGGCCAAAAGCAGTGCATCATTATGTAAAACAGGACGGACGGCAGATCAAGTGTTATCTTAAACATGCTAATCTCTCTAGTTGAGTTCATGCTCAGTTCTCTGCCAGAAAACAGCAGATGCAAATGTAGTTTTTCAGCTGAGATTTTATAATAAAGCACACAACTGCAGCTAAGCAATGCAAAATCAAATAATGTTTAAGTCAGATCAAGCTAAACCACCAAAATCCACAAACAGCTTTCCTTCATCTGTACAACTAAAGAATCCTAAATCATGTACATAGCATATTTTCGACATGCTTTCTTATCCAAATAAAAGAAACATCTCAAACGTGAATTAGTCTTATTGTATAGTGTCAATTTCAGTCTCAATAATGTGACATTTAAATAGAGGGCTTCTGTCCTTTTGGGAAGACCCTCCTATTTAAAGTATTTTTATTAGTCTTGACAGTTCTTTTACTCTGTAAGTTTGACATCCTTTGGAGTGTGTCAGTAGTCAAAAGCATTATGTGGCATCTTTTGCTTGCCCCGTTTTCTTTTTATAACTTTTGTAACAAGTTTAAGCCTCTCAGTTTTAATTTTGGGAAACATGTTGCATTTTTTTCCCCAAAGCTGAAAGGTACAGTGCTGGCCATGTAAACAGTGCTGAAGCTCTCAGTGAAATGTCAGTTATAAATGCTGACAGCCTTTTAACTCTCTAACCTTGTCTATTCTCCTGAGTGTGTCAGTGCTCAGTCTAACTCACAAGACGACCCTCTTCTGACAGCTGAAGTGATGGTGGCCATTAGGGGTATGTCCGTTACCTGTGCGCCTTCAAGGTCAACTGAAACTGACAGAAAGACTTTAAAAGCTGGAGAGAAAACCCACAAGCTAAATAAAAGGAATAACTGGGCACATCTGACACGTGAAATTGGTCAATGGATCAGAATGTGTTGCCTCAAAAGTTCTGTATTGCTTCTAAAAAGAGTTTGATATCAGATTGGAACTAAAGCTGTCGTGATATCAGATTTTCACTACACAAATGTTATGAACAAAAGCTCCTTTATTCATCGAAAGGCTAAGGCATAAACCAGAAATGCAGGTCAGCAGTGGATAATTTTTTTAATTTTTTTAAATGATTGCAGAATTGAATTTCCCATGCATTTGATGCAGTTTAAGAAATATAGAATCGGTTTGGTATGCAAGTCAGACAAGCATTGTTACAAAAAAATTACCTCGATCCACCAGGGTTATTGTAAACTTTTGGTTCACACACCGGTTCAATTGACGTCAGAGTTCGGTTCATTTGGATGAAGTGAACCCTGTTTTCCGAACTTAGGTGCGCACCCGCAAACCATAGCCGAGTCCGCATAAAAAGGTTGATCTGGGGTACGGTTCATGTGAACTCAATCGCGTAAATGAACCACTATTGATGATTTGATAAAACTGTGTTTGTGTGTGTTCTCTCTCACTTTCCTGTCAAGCGTGACTGACGAACTGCGAGCAGAGAGAATGTATATCTAGTTTCTGCTGGATTCCCGCGTTCTTTAGAACATTTGCAGTACATGTGGCAGATAGACACAAATGCCGTTATGTGCTGACACTTTGAAAACAAACCAAAGGTCTAAAAACCACAATATAAAAGTGAGGAATGCATTTTGCCACCTTCTCCTTCATCGTCATTACCAAGCAACAGGGGTAAACAGCGGTTCGGACCCAAATAATATAATGTATAATCCGGCAGTGGGAGGGGGGAGCAATCTAACTCCAGGCAATCGAACCAAGTGTGAAAAAACCCTTAGTTTAACTTAATGTAGGCCTACTAAAATAACTAAAACTGAAATGAAAATTATTAGAACTATATATATATTTTAAAATAAATAAAAATGACAAACAACACAACAAAAACGTATTTAAAACTTATTTTCAAAATGACTAAAACTTAATTTACTAAAATGAAAAAGAAAACAAATATATAATAGTATCTTAATGATAGGCCTACTAACATAACACTGTGATTTATTTATATTGATATGCACATATTTGGTATATTACACATTATTTAGATTTAAAAAGGACAGAAAAATTATTACAATCAAATATAAATGGTTTGACAGCCCTAATTGTGACTTGTCATTGCTTGTGATTGCCTATCATAATTGCTTCACTGTATTTTGTTTAAAACTGCTCCAACCAAATCTCATTTATACCAAAAAAAGGCAGGATTAACTGTAAAAATCTATTGTAGTGTTTGTGTGTGTTTTCCTTTGTGCCGAGGGTGTAATGTGAGACAAAGGTTCTTAATTAAGCAGAAATGGCACTTGCTTTTCTGCTAATCAGCTTCTAATGCGTTTCAGACTTGCTAATGCAGCAATGGCTGGATGAACTGCATTACTATATCAGACCAAACAGCCTTTTCCACCCTCAGAGATGGAGTAAGCGGCCCGCTCCCCCGCGAGCACATCTGCACGGCCTGCCTGGCCCACCGTCTGTTTTGATCCATCTAAATGGCTTCCTCTCAGTGCTCATATTGAATCACTGACTGGCTGGGCAAAGCCAAAGCTACAACAGTCTGTAATTCATCGACTGTCACGGACAGCACTCCCCTGTGTCTATGAAATATTATTATCCTGCTGTAGCTATGTGCCGCAAGAAGCAAATCTCATTGCCGCTGCCATCGTGGCTTTAACCTGCTCCAGTCATGTGCATTTGTCACGAATATCCTGTAAACCTTCTCCCACGCTTTAAATTTTCATTGCTGTTTGTCATTGTCAGATGCATGTCATTCTGATAATCTGTGATGTGTTTACTATTTACTGTACACATATCTTTATGAAGGCAAGGACATCTACATTTTTAGTGTTTCATCCCTCCTACCTCCATTGTGCTAATTCTTGTGAGACAAGCTCCTTCGGTCACAGAGCACTTTAAGCTTAATATAGCAAGCCAAAATGAGTCTCTTTGATATAAATAGGGTGAGTATCAGAAAATCTGCCTTTGAAAATATTATAGAGGTCAGCTGTTCCATTACATGAGCCTTATCAGTGTCTGAATGGAACAGATTGGGGAGTTTGAAGCATCTAATGGATTTTTTGGGGGGTTCAAAGGATTAAAAGTGATGGAAGGACATTACTTTATGTGGCTAAATAAGATAGGCACAGGGGAATGGTGTTTGCTCATTCAAGCTTTTCAGTCTTTATATTTGATAAATCCTCTTCATTCAGGGGGTCAGAAATGTAACCTGTGCAATTAGCCCGGAAAATGTCTTAACTCGATCAGCTCGCCTCTTCCCTTCTGGTTGAATCAAGAATATTAGTGATTAGGGTAAAACGCTTCACGCCCACTTTTGATTGGACCCTTTCTGTTGTCTTGATGAAATGAGAGTGGTGTGTCATTGCTGCAATCACAATAATAACAGCTGTAACCTTAGTAAACACATTGAAAATGTGTGATATAAATGTCTCTTGTCTGTTTATTCTCCCTGTTGATGATTGCATTTGAATTGCCTGAGGAAGACTCTCAGTAGTGGATACACTGTGATATCTCTCTGTTAAGCTTAAAATCCTTCCTTGCACTCCCCTCAATGTTATTGCCTTTAAAAGACGCTTTTGAGGTGACACCGCAGTGCTTTTGAAACGGCACACATGTCCCACTCAGTCAGGACACGCCATCCATTCTCTCTGATCTTCTGCTTTGTTGTTGCAGAAGTGTTGCCACTAAAACTAAATTGATTTTAAAAGCTGCCTGTCATCTATCTGTCCGAGCATGCTGCTTTCCCACTCTCTCCTTATTGCTGTCTCTTATTTCCTTCCTCTTTAACCTCTATTTTTCCCTCTGCCTTTTCAGTTCTTGAGAATTTAGATGTTTTGGGTTACACATTGCCAACCTACAATAGGCTCACTGGAAAAAACTTCTCTTCTCACATTTTTGTAAAACTTCAATTGTATCAAAAAAGTTTCGAGCTGAAATTAATACTAGTGGCAGAAAACCCCAGCAACTTTTATTTTATGATTACATGGGCAGATTATCGAGACTTATTTCCACACAATTCCTTTCACAATGCTGTTGACCTCAAAACGCTTTTATCATAGTTCATGATTTATAAAGTAATTTATTTTGACATTTGCATCACATGATCAACTTCTATGTATAGCTTTTCTGATGTAGTAAACTTGCTCGGTCACTCAGCTGGTAGAATTGCTCTTATGATGCAGAGCACTTGGTTTCGAGTCCTGTTAAGCAAGAGTCATGATAAAATACCTGAGAAACTTGTAGAAGCAAGCTAAATGGCATGGTCGCCTCAGCAAATGTGTTAACACTGTTGGTAAGGTGTTGGGTAGGATTAAATTTAGGTGGTACGTTATTTTTAAACATGATAGAGCAACAACCTTTTAGCTCCACTAGTCGGACATTTCATTTCTAAACTGACATTGAAAATGAAAAACTTTTTACTATCAGTCAGTTTTTGTCAACTCAACCCTGATTTGTTTACAGTGAATGACTGGTCATTCATCAATGAGTTATTGTCACCTATAAAAATGAAAATAACAAACTGAATCTGAAAAATATGTTCTCTTTACTTTGCTTTTCCAGTGTGTCTCTTGATGCCGAACTTTCTCCTCGGCCAGTGCCTAGAACGAAAAAGAAGAAGAAGAAGTCACAGAGGAAGAGGAGGAGACACAGGTCAGCCCACAAAACAAATGGTCACATGTGATGACCTTCTCTTCTGACCAGTCTACAGCACTGGAAAAGACATGTATTTTTTAGATAGATAGAAAGATTTCATGCTGCATTTAATGGTGTCTGCTGTCAATATCCAACAACAGCGTTTATCTTTCACAAGTAGGCTTAAAGAACAATAGTGTGTTAGTGTCGTGAAGAAGAGCCATTCAACAGAAGAAATGTTCTAAGCTTGTTAAGCTTAAAGGAAATGCATTTACATTTTTTATTTTTATTTTAGATGATCTGTTTTCTTGCCATTTGCGTTCTCTGTGCCTGTTAATTGGGAAATACACTCTCTGAATTCCATTCCGTTTAAAAGCTTTTTCTATCTTCAAAAAAATATATCTACAGTCCTTATCATTTACATATTTTTCTAAAAAGTTTGGGGTCATACATTTTTCACCAAGGCTGCATTTACTGTATTTGATCAAAAATACAGTAAAACATTAATATTAAGAAATAGTATCACAATTTAAAATAACTGCTTTCTATTTCAATATATTTTAAAATGTTATTTATTCTTTGAAGCTGAAGAAATAAAAATAAAAAAAAAACAGAAAAAATCTGAATTTTCAGCATTATTACTCCAGTGTCACACGGTCCTTCAGAAATGATTCTAATATGCTGATTTGGTGCTCAAGAAACATATATTATTATTATCAATGTTGAAAACATTTGTGCTGCTTAATATTTTTGTGAAAACTGTAATGCATGTTTTTTTGGGGGGATTCTTTGATGAATAGAAAGTTCAAAAGAACTGCATTTATATGAAATGAAAATCTTCTGTAATAATGCCAACGACATAATAATGTATTTACTTTCACTTCTGATCAATTCAATGTATTGAATATATTATTATCTAAGATAAGGGTTTTAATAACTTTACAAATAAGAAGAGGCATACAAGGACTTCAACTAAAATAATTCAAATTAACCCTCTGGGGTACTTCATTTTAGACTCACACTCAGGACCTTCGGGTCAAAAATGACCCGGAGGGCGGCATTAAGATACATTTAATTTGAGTAAAATCAATGAAATATATTTTTGTTCAATAATATTTTTCTTTTCTTTTTTGGTGTTTTGAGATAATTTTATGATTTATAATTAATATTTATGCAATAATTTAGACCCATTTTTTCCCATTAAACATAATAGAAAATTGATATATATATACATAATTAAAAAAAAAATTTTATTAAAGCTGTATTTCATTTTAGAGTCAAGTCTAGGCCTCATGGAAGCAATTTTTTAAATGAGATCGGAGCCATCTGGTGGACACACTGAGCATTTTTATCACGCAAGAGCACATTTTTACCACTAGTGGATTTACAGCTCTCTGTAGAAACCTAGAAACCTATGGTAGAAACACTCTAGTGATTTTTTCACATATTGTTTAATTTTTTTCAGGTTGTTGATTTGAATATATAATAACAGATTCTCAAAGACTATTTTTGTCATTTTTTTTTATTTAAAAAAATTAAAAAAAATTTGGTTGGTTTAAATGGTAATTTGAAGTGGCAGTTTTACTTTATAATACAGTCAAACCTGAACATTGCATTATAAAGAGAACAAATGGAAAACATTTTGTCACCCATTGTTTTAAGAGATTCACCCCTTCACTGTTGTGTGCTTTTTTTCTGCATCCTGGCTGTTTTGTAGATTGTATGCACAAAAAAACTCTGTATTTTCACATTTTTGCCAATTTCCCATTAATTTCCTATGGGGGTCATTTTTGACCCGAAGGTCCTGAGTGTGACTATTTTGTTTTAAGACCACTTAGACTTTTCAAATCCTGTCCCCAATTTTTTTGGGTGTTCATATACCAAGTACCAAAAAAGTCACCAAATTTCGGACCATTCCTGTGAAGCTACAATTAAAAAAAAAAAAATGTAAAAACGCTTCGGGACATTTTTGTCCCGAAGTACCCCAGAGGGTTAATATGGAGCACAGATAGAATAATAATAATAATAAATATAATTGGATAACGTATCCAGATTTCTTGTGCATCATATACTAAATTATTTTGAAAGCATATGAAAGTCTTTGGAATACATTGCAAGATTTTCGTAAATGGAGAAATATTCCTTTAAAACAAAATGTTGTACGTGTTTTAACTACATATGGCTTTATTTGATCTCCCAGATCTCCCTCCTGCAGTCCATCACCTGTGAGGAAGAAGAAAAAGAAGAGCTCAAAGAAAAGGAAGCGACATAGGTAGTGATTGATTTTCACATCAGGTCATGTTTAGAGGTTTGCTTTGAGTATACGCTTTTCTGATGTGGTGTGGTTGTTTTGTCACGACTGCTTTTAACGTCATCTCATCTCTGCCTCTAGGTCTGCCTCAAGGAAGGGAAGGCACAGGTACATTTATTTATTTCATATTTTGCTTGTTTTTATACTCTTTCCTACAATAAAGGGCACAGTGCTTTTTTACACAGTACACATAATACCTGTTGATTATTGTTAAGTGCTTTTATGTAGTTTATGGCTCCCAGAAGACGATTTTATTGCTTAGTGGTTCCTCTCTTTTAGTCCAGGAGATTGAATGGAGAGCTCAGTTATAAATCATTTAAGTATCCACTTTGTCTCAGTTGTTTTTCCTCAAATTTCTTAGGAGAGAAAAAAAGGTACAATTATTGTACCTCCATTTGCTCTCCATTTAATCACATTGTTGTCTAGCAGAAACAGCAAGGAAATTTCACGTGTGAATTTTCTTTCCTATGGGACCTTTTAATTTAAACCCGAGCAATCATTTTTCTGCTATTTTTACAGTGGATCGAGTCCCAGACGTAAAAGAAAGGAGGAGAAAAAACATAAAAAGAGGTTGGTGATTTCAAAATGTGCCTTAATTATTTAAAACCCACCAGCTTACACTTCAGTTGAAAGTATTCAAGCACTGACAGTTTATTGAGTTATATTCAAGTTCCCTCTGTGGTTTATCCTTTAGTGTCAAAGGCTTAACGCATTCTACACTATAAAGCACCTGCATGACCCTTCATGCACAAGAGTCATATTTTCTAGATTAGATTACAGTGTATTGACCGGCGCTCTGTAGTGCACCTCAGCTCCTCTCAGAGAGCGCTGTTATTGGCTGCTTTTGTCGTGTGCTCTCTCGAACTGAAGGAGGGCTGGTGCAGTCTGAGAGCAGCTCCTCACTGAAGCAGGCGAGCAGCCAGAGAGACAGAAACATGAACCAATTTCACGCCGCTAGCCTGCTACACACAGCCAGGGAAGACGTGCCTCGCTGGGCGTCTGATCTTCAAAACCTTCAGGTTTTGTTAAATCAATGGTTCCCAAGTGGTTTTGCTTCACGACCCAAGACTCTAAATTCTTTGTCCTTTGTAACTGAATTGCACTTAAACAGAAACTGTTTACATAAGCTCATCTTTGTCTTTACGTGATTTGTTACATTTTATATTATACTGATGCTGAAATAGAATGTTAGCTAAAAAAAAGAGTTACTTGCAAAAATAGTTTAAAAACAAAAAGTTTTAAACTTTTTCAATATGTTACTGGTCTTTTGTGCATAATTGTGTGCACTAACATTAAAAAGTTTGGGGTTGGTACTTTTTTTTTTCAAAGAAGTCTCTTATGCTCACCAAGACTGGCTTTTTATCAAAAATAAAGGAAAAATAGTAATATTGTGAAATTAACATTTTAATTTTTTTAAATACAAAAAATTATATATATATATATATATATATATATATATATATGTATGTATAATTTAATTTAATCATCGAAAATCTCTACCCCTGAAACAATTTTCCTTTTCACAGGACAGGACAAATTTATGTTAATGTTTCTCTCATTGAATATTTTGTTTTATTCAGAAATATGTCACATTGGGTTCTGATTGCTGTTTTAAGCTGACTTTAATGCATTTAGAAGATGTCCCAGGAGGATAACACATCACAGTGTCCTCAAAATATAAAATCAGTAATGTCACTACTGTAATACGTATAGGCTATATAAAAAACATATTCAAAAACAATACATAAATGGAATGTACTAGCTATAAAAGGTTTTAAACTACCTGTTTCAAATTTCAATCCATTAAACATGGTCTGCTCTTTTGTTCTGTATGGTTTGTTGGGCAGCTAAATTCAATTTGGAACTTTAATTGAATTCACTCAGCAAACTCATGTGAATCTGCACTCAACTGTCTCCATTTCAGACTCAATTAACACTGTTTTACATGTGCCACATTAAATTATTACACTTCAGAGACAGAGCTCTGACTCTTGCTGGGGTGTTATGTCTTGTATTTTATTGTCTCATGGCTTCGTAATTACCCTTTCGCTTACTGCTTTGCTTTCTCTTTCTTTCTCTATCACTGCAATAATAAGATAAATTAAAATAAGAGATTTAATGGCAGAGTAATGTCAATTTATGACATTGTTATAATGTTGCTGTACCAGCACAAAATAGCATAAATACAAGGTGAGATAATTGATTTCTTGCATGCATGTCTATTGGTTACCCTTCAGGTCAAGGAGCCACTCTCATCGGCACCGGCGCCGTAAAGCTGAAATTAGGAGTTCCTCCTGCATGGAAAACAGGTATGTGTGACCTTGCAACTGAATAATTGGGAGAAGGCCAATTTAAATGTATACTTCAGTGTAACTCCATGGTGGAGCCCAAAACCGAAAGCAGCTGCTATCTAATGATCTAAAAAAATATATAATAATTAATTTCGGTTACACTTTAGAATAGAGAGTTATCATGCTTTCACTTTAGCAGACTGTTCCAAATAATGAATAATTCCTTCTGAAGGATTTGGTAATACTTGAGTCATTACTAGTAGGTTACCATGATCTTTAGTTTGGACATAATTATACATACATTGTGTATTACTCTCAGTAATTATGAACCTGTATATAGTAGTTTTTAGTAGTCCTCTGGGAGGTATGAAAAAAATTGTTATTGATTTAGCTAATAGTGAACTAACTTTAGCTAATAGTGATAACGCATTATCACTTCGTTAATCAGAGTTTCTTATTAGTTAGCAGTTACTAATGTTAATATTGCATTACTCATTTGTTCCTGTGTAGTTATTCATTAATGAGGGAACAGTATTCTAAAGTGACCACAAATTCAAGTTAGAATAGAATAAAATAGAATCATAAGTTGAAAAATAAGTCTTTACCTGCAGGTAAATGTGCAACATTAGTCACAGATTTGTATGGATTGGATAGTTCTTGTTCAGAATGTTTAAAAAAATTCCACAAAATAACATTTTGACATTTTTGGGAGAATGTTGGGGGTTGGAGATATTCATGGCTTCATGCTGACCAGTCAGGTTTTTTATCTTATCAGTCAGCATCCAGTGCCACTGTGGCGATGACTGATAAAGGTAGAGGTGACACAGAGGAAACTCTTTTATCTGCCTCTCGCAGCTTATGTCCAACATTTGGCACGTAGATCAATGGAATCGGGAAGGGAATGAAATTTGAGATCTCGCCCCCGTGAACAGTTGCGCCTCCTTGGAGTGGGTTGAGGGGTGATGGGGTTGAGGTACAGATGGAGCACTGTTAGGGAATAGTGATGAAATTAAGTTTCAGGCTTAAATCTGTTTTCTTTGAGGTGTCAGTGAAGATTGCCTGTAAAGCATATACAAGTCAGTCCTGCTGATCGCCTATGTACAGATATTATGAGAAATGCTTGGACGTGGAGTACATGATTCCTTATTAGGCAAATGAGTAGTTTATGAGATGTAAAATAAGATCATTTTGTTCTGGGTCAAAGGTGTATTTTAAAAATATATTTTGAATTAGATCAACACATCAGAGTAATCACAGACAAAGAGTTTTTCATGCATTAAATTGGCCTCAAATGCTCTCCCAGGTGTCAACACTCTGATTACTTCATCAGTCCTTCATACAAAAAAACCCCCTCTCATTCATTCATCGCAGAATTTCTGGCTTTTTTGAGACCGGAGAAGACCTAATAAGTTGAATCATTTTTTTGGTCATATATTTTGTCATATATAGGTCATATATTTTGAATTAGATCAACACATCAGAGTAATCACAGACAAAGAGTTTTTCATGCATTAAATTGGCCTCAAATGCTCTCCCAGGTGTCAACACTCTGATTACTTCATCAGTCCTTCATACAAAAAAAACCCCTCTCATTCATTCATCGCAGAATTTCTGGCTTTTTTGAGACCGGAGAAGACCTAATAAGTTGAATCATTTTTTTGGTCATATATTTTGTCATATATAGGTCATATATTTTGAATTAGATCAACACATCAGAGTAATCACAGACAAAGAGTTTTTCATGCATTAAATTGGCCTCAAATGCTCTCCCAGGTGTCAACACTCTGATTACTTCATCAGTCCTTCATACAAAAAAAAACCCTCTCATTCATTCATCGCAGAATTTCTGGCTTTTTTGAGACCGGAGAAGACCAAGCCTCGGTTTCAAATTGAAATAATCTTAAGCTGGAGATGATTGGTTTTAAATCCCTAGCTGATCTCTCCATTATTTGGAATTTCTTAGGGATATTCAAAGGACGAAATCATTATAGAAGGCGAGCACAGTGAAGCTTTACATGGTTTCAGGAGCTGAAAAGGCACAGAGAACCCACTCACGCCACACAACAGGAACAATGGCCGTCAGTTCCCAATCCTCATTCACTTTCCAAAGACCCATTACATATAATCTATGTCCTGAGCTGGTATAATTGGCATGTCCTTTCTTAGGAAACCATTTTATTCCACCTTAAGCCTATGAAGATTAAAGGAACTAGACGATCGTCTAAGACAATGAAATATAAATCTTCTTGTTGTCAATTGTTCAAGTAAATGGACATTAGCTGGATATCTCTGCCACTGCTATTTCGGTAGAAATATAATATCGATTCTTAAATGGATTATTTAGACAAAGTGCTTCCATACTGTATTTTTACACTTTTGCCACTTTAATTGATGCTTCTCCCAGTGACCGTGACATTCCCATTATGTTAACCTGTGGAGGACGAATTTTTTCCCACCTCACTGCCTAAATGCTGTAGAAAGGAAAAACTGAAGAATGACTATTATTCTTTTGCTGTCCCACATTATGATTTTATTGCTACTGTTGTAAAGGTGCTGTGAGCACCTTGATTAGCTAAAATGATTCAACTTACAGTACTTTGCATATTTAATGTGAATGATATATGAATATATTAATTCCTCCTTGAGGTGAAGGGGCCTTTAACAACGTTTTTATGTGCTTTGTGTATGTAGATATGAAGATTGTGAAAAATCTGGTTTCCAAGACGGTGGCCATTCATCAGCTGTCCATGGAGGCGATGCATGCAGGTCGGCAATCAAGCTGACCAATAAAATCTCCTCTAAGTGCTGCTGCCACTTTTCTGAAAGCACCGTAAGTGTTTCTGATGGCTACCTGATGCGCTTACAGTGCCGAACTCTTGCTCTGTTTAAGGCCCTTGTGAAACCATTGATTTCTTTTTACTTAACGGATGTCAAGACCAAAAGCTATGTTGTTTTACAGTTATCTGTTAAACTACTGCATTTGAAAGCCAGCTAGTGCAAGTCGTTTCCCCCATGGAGAAATCGTTATTTATGTGACTGTTTGCTTGCTTTTGGATAGGATTTGGATTGAAACTAGCCATAAAGGCATAGGATTTTTAATTGTCACAGATGAAGGTTTTCTATAGTCCTTTTTGTTTTGTAAATTGGCTAATATTGCATTGTCATCTCATTTTTAATAGGAACAATAATCATCTTTGTAGCAATGCCTTCGAGTGAGGTTATTTTTGTGGTTAGAATTGGTTTTAACCAACATGTGATTTGCATATTGCACATGTGCTTGACACACAATTTAAACTTAAGTTAATTAACTTTTTAATGAGAGTGGTTTTCAAGTGTTTTCCACTCTCAGTAATTACACTTGTTAAAAGTGACACGAAACCTACTGCCACACTCTAAATGCATCCACTCCAACCAGAAATATCAAACATCATTCAATAAATAAAAAAGTTCACCATCACTAAAGAATGCCTAGTCTGTATAATGTCATAAAAACGAATATTTTAATAAAGTTAATAATTTACATAATCCTATGTACTGTATAATCCTATTATTTTCTGAAAGTTTTTAAATAAACTCTTGCAGCATCTTTTTTAAGCCTTTGAGGTTAGTTTGTATACTACAGAGATCATTAAAGTACGATCAGAGATAAGTGATTTCGATCACAAAATCATTAAAGTAACGTGTATTACATTTTCTAAACTTTAATCATTGCTAATATTTTTGACTTGTGCCATTGTGTTTAAAGATTGTCCATAGTGTGAAGAAAATATTCCTTTTTTGTTATTTTGTTCCTAAACTGTAGACGTTGCCTCAGCCGCCTAACCCTTTTCAAGAAAAAAAAATATTTTTTAAATACATTTTAATGCTCCGTTGGCCCTGCCGTGGATCCTTGGTTGGTTAGCTGTATGAGCAAAGCAAGCTTTTGCACTGGTGCGGTTTGTTTCATATACTAAAGCTTGCAAAATAAAATACATAAACCTGCACATAATTGTTTCAGCCTCATACTTCACAGCTAGATCATTACAAATAACCCCCAGGCTATACCAGATTTTTGCAAATTCCACCATAAACCAGAGTTTGATTGCTTTTTGTGCCATTGTAGCAAACTAGAATCTTATTGAAACTTAGCAGCTTCTTTCCATTTTCTATAAAGGATACAGATTCTATTTAGGATGTAGAGTCTACTTAAATTTACTCCATCAGTCCCACAATAGAAAAAGAGATCTAATTTCAAACCTACAGGTGAACAACAAAGGTAAAGAAAAAGGCTCATGCCGGTGTGTGGCAGAGTGGAGTTGGATTTAAAGAAGAGAGGGTTATTGTCTTTTTCTTGCACTTTACCACTCTAATGATGCACTTATGTCACCCGCTCTTCCCTTTTTCTTACACCTTACCTACTTAAGGAGGAAGTCTTGATTGGTAAGTCGATGCTATCCGCAGATTTAGGGACTTACTGTAGGCCGCTGGTGGACTGTAAAATCTCTTCCGACAGGGGACTAAAGCAGAAACAAGTTCTTTTTGTTTTTCTCAAGGATTTTAAATATTTAGAGTGATGGAGATATTTCTTTTGTCTGCAACCCTTTTCATATGATTATATATAGATAGATAGATATATTACTTAAGCCCATTCTGTGATGTCTGTTTAATGTTCTTTAAAGGAAAGCTTTCAACTTTCAAATTGGGGATTTCTGTTTCCTTTTACTCTCTCTTTCTTCTGACTTAAAAGTAGCTGGAAGTTTATTAATGTAGGTTCCTTTCTCTCTTTTTTTTGATCTGGATGTTTTCTTTAATTTGCCTTTTTCATTAGCATTGGTTCATTGTTTATTTCTCTCTTCAGTCTTTTTTTTTTTTCATTCGTTTCTTTTGTAAGAGTACTTGCTTTGTTCTTCTTTCTTTTCAAACTTCTCGCATGTGACAGATCTGCATGGCGGTTTTTAATCTTTTAGTTTCTGTCCCAAAAAATCTTGATTAATTTCCTCTCTGTGCTCTGTAGGGACATATGTGCCTTTTAAAGAGTACTCAGACTGCATCATGCAGGTAGCAGATTAATGATACGGCCTTATTTTTCTTTAGAAAAACAACAACTTTGCTTTGTCTGCTTGCAGGTCTCACCATCACGTCATGGGGTTAAGGGTTTAAACAAAATGATGATCGTCCAGGACTCAATATCCAATAAGGGCAAAGGTCAGGCAGATTACGATTCGGGAAATGACACGTCCTCTCCACTGTCAAGTAAAACTGGCATCACAAGGTCAAAAGTGACCAGAATTGGAAAGTTCTCTTGTCAGGATTTAACATGTCCTGAGAAGCTTAGACTAGCCGATGGGGACAATGCCTCGGATTCAGGCAACTCACTAACCAGCTATGACTCTCTGGGTAAACCAGTACTCAGAGAAAATACCCTACACAGCTCTGTCTTCAACAAGTTTAAAGGGTAAGGCTGTTTTGAATGCATTTTACATTAACTTTAAATATGTCTAAATTGTATTTTGATGGTGTACATCCAATGTCTCACTAACATGCCATTAAACCATGTATCTTTCCAGTGAAAGAATTGTCAGTGTAGGTTCGGCTTCCATTTCACTTTTAACATGATATGACCACTGATGAGTGACTTTTCATATAAAATAAAATAAAATCAGACCAAAACAGTTATATAGATTTGTGTTTGAATGTCTAGTTCACTATATTGTCACGATCCACACTCAAGGAGACAGAGAAGATCCAAGCGCAGTATATTTATTAAGGGCCAATCCGTTACATCATAATCCAGTCCATGCAGAGGTCAAAATCCAAAGAAGCAATCCAACACAAGAACAAAACAAGACACAGTCAACGACCGACCTAAGAAGTGGTGTGATACAAACAAGGACTCCGTGACACATACTGAAACAGACAGGGTTATATACACAGGGAAATGACAATGCTAATGGGGAACAGGCTGAGTGCAATAATCAGTGATAAGAGACAGCTGAGTGCAATGAAAAGACAAGGATCATGGGGGATGTAGTTCAAGAGTGTGATGGACACCGTGGGGAAGGAGGACATCTAGTGGTGACCCAAGGAACATAAACCAGACACTGTGACATAACCCCCCCTCTACGGAGCGGCTACCAGACGCTCCAAGACGTGACAGACAAACAAGTGTCCAGGCGGGAGGTGGACTGGTGGAGGATCAGGGGGAGGGATGGGGGGCCAGGTCCATGGAGAGAAACGGGGACAGGGAGTGACAGTTCATCTGGCGGCCAGGGCGGAGACGACAGTCCCTCGGGCGGCCAGGACAGAGACTTTCCCTCGGGCGGCCAGGGCGGAGAATTTCCCTCGGGCGGCCAGGGCGGAGAATTTCCCTCGGGCGGCCAGGGCGGAGAATTTCCCTCGGGCGGCCAGGGCGGAGACTTTCCCTCGGGCGGCCAGGGCGGTGAATACCCTTCAGGCGGCCAGGGTGGAAACGACAGTCCATCTGGCGGCCAGGGCGAATCAGGCAGTGCAGGCGGCCGGGACGGGACAGGTCCTTTGGACGACCAGGGCGAAGACGACCACTCTGGCGGCCACGGCGGAGACGACCACTCTGGCGGCCACGGCGGTGAAGACGACCCATCGGGCGGCCAGGGCGGTGAAGACGACCCATCGGGCGGCCAGGGCGGTGAAGACGACCCCTCGGGCGGCCAGGGCGGTGAAGACGACCCATCGGGCGGCCAGGGTGGTGAAGACGACCCATCGGGCGGCCAGGGCGGAGAAGACCCCTCGGGCGGCCAGGGCAGTGATACCGGCTCAGGATCAGACACCGACACCGGCTCAGGATCAGACACCGGCTCAGGATCAGACACCGACACCGGCTCAGGATCAGACACCGACACCGGCTCAGGATCAGACACCGACACCGGCTCAGGATCAGACACCGGCTCAGGATCAGACACAAAAACTATAACAGCCACAAGAACAGAAACAAACACAGAAACAAACACCGGCTCTGGCGCTGGAACAGGCTCTGGAACGGGCACTGGCTCTGCCTCCGGCCTTGGAACAGACACTGGCTCCGGCCCTGGAACAGACACTGGCTCCGGCCCTGGAACAGACACTGGCTCCGGCCCTGGAACAGACACTGGCTCCGGCCCTGGAACGGCAGACACAGGCATGTCCAGGATCCGAGCCAGACGCTCCAGATAGTCCAAGTCCAGGTCCATGAAGGCAGACAGCACTGGCTCTGCCTCCGGCTCTGGAACAGGCAATGGCTCTGCCTCTGGCTCTGGAACAGGCACTGGCTCTGCCTCTGGCTCCGGCTCATGAGCGGGCACTGGCTCTGCCTCCAGCTCTGGAACGGACATTGGCTCTGCCTCCGGCTCTGGAACAGCAGACACTGGCTCCGGCTCTGGAACAGGAGACACTGGCTCCGGCTCTGGAACAGCAGACACGGGCATGTCCAGGATCCGAGCCAGACGCTCCATATAATCCAGGTCCATGAAGGCAGACGGAACATGAACAGTCTCTGACTGGGCAGACGGAACGTGAACAGTCTCTGACTGGGCAGACGGAACGTGAACAGTCTCTGACTGGGCAGACGGGACGTGAACAGTCTCTGGCTGGGCAGACGGGACGTGAACAGTCTCTGGCTGGGCAGACGGGACGTGAACAGTCTCTGGCTGGGCAGACGGGACGTGAACAGTCTCTGGCTGGGCAGACGGGACGTGAACAGTCTCTGGCTGGGCAGACGGGACGTGAACAGTCTCTGGCTGGGCAGACGGGACGTGAACAGTCTCTCGACCACCTCCTCCACTGCGACCTCCACGGGTCCCGCGAAACTTGACCAATCGGGTCCCCTTAAAAAACTCCCTTCTCTCCCGCTCGGTGGCTGGGGAAGAGATGTTACAAAACATACCGCTGGATTAGGTGTGACGGAGTCCTTCTGTCACGATCCACACTCAAGGAGACAGAGAAGATCCAAGCGCAGTATATTTATTAAGGGCCAATCCGTTACATCATAATCCAGTCCATGCAGAGGTCAAAATCCAAAGAAGCAATCCAACACAAGAACAAAACAAGACACAGTCAACGACCGACCTAAGAAGTGGTGTGATACAAACAAGGACTCCGTGACACATACTGAAACAGACAGGGTTATATACACAGGGAAATGACAATGCTAATGGGGAACAGGCTGAGTGCAATAATCAGTGATAAGAGACAGCTGAGTGCAATGAAAAGACAAGGATCATGGGGGATGTAGTTCAAGAGTGTGATGGACACCGTGGGGAAGGAGGACATCTAGTGGTGACCCAAGGAACATAAACCAGACACTGTGACATATATTAATCCTGGTACAAAGTGCAGACTCTCTCTCTGCAAATATCCAGATATCCTGTCACTTACATTGTGAAGTAATAAAGTAAAGGCCTAAAATAATGTCCCTCTTGTAATTGCAGTGAAGAAACAGGCAGGCACGCTGATTTGGAGAAGACACAGCCTCTGAGTCTCGTCACCGATAGGAATCGGAGTCCGTCTTATGATAGATATCAGGATCGAACGAGGTCCCGCAGCAGAAGCATATCATCCCAAAGCAGATACTCAGGGCGCTATTCCAGAAGCCGATCCCTGTCCTCAGGGAGGAGGTGGGTCGCACAGCTGCTATTTATTATAGGAACTCTTATTTTAAGCTTTCAATTTAGTCATAAACTCGTATGTTTGTATCTGACAATATCATTTCACTCGGCTCACTTACAGATCATATTCCCGTTCGTCCAGTTATTCGCTGGATTCACGGAGAGACAGTCTGTCTAGTGCGAGCAGTTGCCGCAGTCTAAATTACTCACGGTGCACACCAGACAGGTGATTTTTAGCTGAAAGGAGATGTGTGATTTGATCTAATATAATTGTTTGATAATGACTGTGGCATTGGTGAAATCACATACATGCTCGCATCTCTTTTATGTGTGGTGAAAAGGTTTCGAGAGCAGAAAAGAGACTGCAGTTCCTGCAAGAGTAGAAAGCACAGCAGGAGAAGACCTTGTTCCCCTATGAGAAAGAGAAGAAGAGATTCCCCCAGCCACCTGGAAGCCCGTAGAATTACAAGGTCTGTTCTTGGAGAAATACTAGTGTTACAATACAAACTGCATGAATCACAAACAGAAATAACTCTCCTGATCTTACTTTGGAGATCCCACACCTTTCTGCACTGATTCTAGGAAGAAATCTCTAGAAATCTGCAGAATGAATTAAAACTGAGCTGAGGGCACACTCTAATTTGTAGCTGAAAGCATTATCAAATTAGCAAAAAATATTTACCACATTAACAAGCAAGTCGTGGGAATGTCAGGCATTCCAATTCTGTGTAAAAATGCAGAGCTTTCTGCTGGCATCCTCAGGAGAAATAAAAATAGACATACAGTCTTCAAATGAATGTTGATGGCTGTTTAGGAGAAGCAATTGTATAACAATACATATTTATAGTAAAGACATTAAAGTCCCTGTAAAGGCAATTCTAAAAAAAAAATCTAAACCATTATAAATGTTAGAAATGTATTGCTAAAACATATTACAAAGACTGTGAACTGTGAATTACTGAATTGTGGAGTTAGACCGTTAAACAGTTTTTCACCATTGCTATTTTCCGGATTTTTTTGGCGGGGCTAAAACGGGGCTCGATGACGCACTGGAGCCCCTGACCTCGTGGACACGCCCCTACTTGATGACGCACTGAGGCCACTGAGGCTGGCCCCTCCCCTAACAATAGAGCACATTCGCTTCAGTTTGGCGCTCAATCGCGAGTTACTGTACTATTAGTTACTACAGCCTACAGTTTGCTAGCTAGCTATGCCTTCGACACGGAAATGCGTAGGCTACTACCTGGATGCGATCATGTACAAAACAGATCGGTGTCTTTATTTAAATTTCCTAAAAACGGTCACATCAAGAAGAGGTGGATTAATTTTGTGAAGAGCCAACCTTGATGGAGAGCTGAGGATCATCGCCAACACCCGCCTCTGTAGCGATCAATTTACACTGATAGTTTTATAAGAACACAGAACACATACTTAATTTTGACTTTACAGGGACTTTAATAATGTTACAAAACATTTCTACTTTAAATAAATGTTGTTCCTTTGAACTTTTATTTCAGAAGAAAATTACAGTTTCCACACAAATATTAAGTAGCACAACTGTTTTCAACATTTTTTTCAATAAAAAAAATGTTTCTTAAGCAGCAAATCAGCATATAAGAATGATTTCTGAAGGATCATGTGACACTGAAGACTGGAGTAATGATGCTGAAAACTCAGCTTTGCCATCACAGGAATAAATTACATTTTAAAATATATTAAAATTGAAGACACTTATTTTAAATTGTAATAATATGTCACAATGTTACTGTTTTTACTGTATTTTTTGATCGAATAAATCAATGGTGAGCATGAGAGATTTCCTTGAGAGATTGTTAGACAAAAAATACCCCTAACTTATCCTTTTATGACTTTTCTAATGTAACTTTTTTTAAATAAATTTTGTTTCTATTCTCTTTCTGCATGCGTTCCTGTCCTGCACAGTGCCAGAAAGAGGCCCATCCCTTACCATCGTCCCAGCCCCTCTGTCAGCAGCAGATCCTCCAGCCTCCTGTCCTGGCGCCTGTTTTCTCTCGGACGCAGTCGTTCACGGAGTCGCAGTCGCAGTCGTGAGACTTCTTCTTCATACAGGAGCTACAGTCGCAGCTCATCGTTGAACTCTGTATATAGCAGACGCAGTCGCAGTCGGAGCAGAAGCTATGACTCAATTGTGAGCTACAGCAGAGCCCGCCGCTAATTCACGGATGAACCAGATGCAGGGATGCTGAGCTACAGCACGAGCCCGGGACCGCGTCTTATTGTAACTGGAAATGAAATGGAGCAGCACTGAGAACATGCTGTGCTTGGATGTGGAACACCAGGCAGTGACAGGATCATCTGTTCAGTGTCAGATAAGACTGAAGCTTCTATATTGTTGTGTACTAAACTGTGTGCTTTCATCCATCCCGCTCAAAGGAAAAGAAAAACTTGTCTATCAATAACAAAGCCTGCTGTTTGTAGGAAGGACCTGAATGGAGGTTTCACTATGTGCACTGCAATATGTGAGTTTCTGCTATACCTGGTTTTGCTCATAGGCGTGAGGATATCGTTGTTCCTTTATCAAAAACAGCCGTAGTAGATAAAAGGAAGTGTCTTCGTGTGCAGGGTCACTCACGAGACGCTCATAACCTTGACTGTAAAAGCGGATGTTTAAATCTATTGTATTTTTGTAGTGTTTTCTTTTTTTATAGATGTCAAAAGTGCTTGAGGAGAAAGATTTGTTGCTTCCATAAGAGCTTTTACTGAGAGCAGCCGCTTCTGTGTTGCACACACCTTCACTTTGAAAAATGTGCCATCCGAATTAGCCCCACCGGCAAACGCACACCCCATCAGCCCAAATGCCAGCTTTATTTATCTTCTGTTGAACTGGAAAACAATTCAAATGTCATTGGCTGTGATGGAGATGATGATGATGATGATGGCGGACAATCACAATGCAGCAGATGTGCTCCACTGAACCATTTTGCAGGGTCCAGCTGTCCATACTGTGTAAAAAAAATGTGTTAAACTACACATTAATCTAGCAGACCTCAAGAGACAGAATGCAGATTTTTTTTTTATCCATCAAATTCAAGGCTACTTCTGAGTGATCAAAGAAAAGTAAAAAAAATGTCTGCCATACTGACTCTAAAATTAAAGCACTGGTTTACATATTATTATTATCTTATTTTTAACATAAGTCGTATTCAATTGTATAATATTTAAAATTATTTATTCTTTTAATGCCTAGTCATTTCTATTTGTATCTGGGATTTATTTCTGTTAGGTATGCAAATAGTGCGGTACAAATATTTATTACTCAGATCACTTGAATTATTTATAATATAAAACCTTTGATGTTCATATAGAAAACTTTTTTGTTTACAGTATATCATCCATTTTTGACTGTGTTTTGATATTTTCCCACAATCCCACAGTTTAAACATTCAGTCCTGCATTAATTAAATCACAAACTTTACATGCTGTAAATGACGATGATATTTATAAATACAAATGTTTTATAAAGCATATTTATTGGTTGCACAACAGAGACACTATTACAGACTGGGAGAAATGAAGACGGCTGTTATAAGAAATCCATCAGAGTGGCTAGATCAAGGATTTTTTGAAAGGATCAAAGATATATATTTGGTGTGTGATATAGCTTGATGAAACGGCGTATAAAAATCATCACCTTCATCACAACAGATAATGGCAGTTTCTTTGTTTCTGTGTCATAAAGTCTATTGGAGTGCTTGTTAAACGAAGGCATGGTGATCTCTATGCACTGTACATTATTAGCTGTCTGACTGTTGTGAATTCTGACACTTGTACAGAATATTTGTTGTAGATGAAGGGGAAAAAACTTGAAGTGTATCAAATGTTTTATCTTCTTGAACTCATCCTGTTCTCTCGTCTCAAACCGTAAATGAGTTTAGTAAATGATTATGTAAATCTGTTGTGTAAATATGCAAACGTTTAGTGCGGCAATATTAGGCATGGGCTTTATTTATTGAGATGGAGTAGTGGTACTGACTGTTTACAAGGCTGGCTATCTAATTGACATTATTTGCATTCTTTAAAAAAAAAAAAAAAAAACCTGAAATGTTGCCATGAATTAAATCATTTTTTTACAGAATCAAAGTCAAAACATGCTACAGAGGTTGCCATTGGCTTCTGTAACTGCAAAACACTATTGCAACATCCTGTAATACCAATAATTATTTTTGCACAAAATGTGCGGTAAAGATATATAGCAAGTGAGTATTGGTTTTAGCACAAAGTAAAAAACCTCAGTGCAGGGCATCAGGCTTGAATATTATGCTAAGGACATTCCTCATATTACCCTATTCTACTATGTATATAGAATGCTGTCTATGTGCACATGAGTATCAATGTCTCCCTTGCTCTTCACATTAATGGCTAGTTCTCTGTGGTCTGAATCTGTAATGATATTCAAAGAGTTCTAAATAAATTATTCATCTAATTAATTCACCCAATATTTTGTTTCTTTAAAATTGCACTCTCTTTATTCACATGAAAATTATATCCTTGCATTCGTGATTTGCATATATAAAAAGGGAGGGTGGGGTACGATGGGTCTTGTCACACTTTCATTGGCTGAATCCGAAATTGCCCCCTATACCCTCAAATAGGGCATTATTTGAAGGGACAGTCAATTGTAGTGGTGTCCGAAACCATAGTGGACGTTATCGAGTGCACTCGTTCTACCCCAAATTAACGAGTGTATACTGCCGATGTACGCTCAACGGTTGTCTGAATTCGCTCACTCGTTTTCATTCACTCCTTCAAGTGAACTGTATTAGTGGACTGTAGGGAATAGTGATTAAGGGTTTAGGGGGCGATTTCAGATTCAGTCCTGGTGTTTGGTTTTCATTTTAAAGGACAAGGACTGTTTCCTTTGTCCTTAGTTTCCCACCATCATTAGTTTCCATGGTTATTCATTAATTAGTTCACCTGTTTGCATTCAGATCATTATCGTGTGTATTTATACCCTTCAGTTCCTTTTGTTCAGTTGTCTGGTGTTGACTGAGTTTTAGTGCTCACTGTTACGTTGCTTTAGTTTATTTTGATTAAAGTATTACCTTATTTGTACTTTCATCATCTCCTCATCTTCCTCTTTGGACTCTACGTGTTACAAGTCAGAGGGCAAGCTAAGCCACATAGTGCTTGATTTTTATTTGACCAAAATAAACAGGAAGTGCCCATTATTTTATCTTTTTTGTGACTGAGAAGAGCACATAATGAAAGTGCAAAGTATTTATTTTTAACATGGACCACTTTTACATGACATACGGCCCTATTTCTCGAGATGTTTTTGTCTAACATTATACAGTAAAATTTCAAAAACTTTTATATTTAAAAAAATATAAAATGATGTAGGCTACTTAATATATTCTATATAATAATTTATAATTGCTAAAAGAAAATCTGTCTGAAAAGTCAAATGTTGATATTTTGTTTCTTATAATACAATTAAATACATTTTAAGTAGGCCTAAGGCATGGCCAATACATTTCAACAGATAGAAGACATCCTAAAATATAACTGAGTGCATGTTTTTTCTCGCTCATCTTACATAGCCTACTTTCCCCTACATGACGTATGCAAGGAGGACTCGTTTGAAGAAGGAAAAGGAGATAGGCCTACCGCATGCATGCCTTGCCTATGTTGTATTTCGTCACATTTCGTGTTTAGAACGTTATTAGTGTTGTTCTTATGAGTGTGTGACTCCTCTCCGGCCTTGAGGAGTGAGTAGTGTTCTATTATGAAGTGAATGAGTCATCTGGGGGAGTGTGAGATTGGACCAGTCGTTGTCCGGTGGAGCCAGTCACAGCCCGGGGTCTAAACTTGGATAGGGAGGGTCTTCAGTCAGCTGTCGTGTACCACCGAGCACTTTCTGGACTTTATAGACCGGTAAATCACATATAAACCAGTGAAAGAGCACTTACATCGTCAGTAAACTTCTAGAACTCATACATGAGTACAGTGGTAGGCTTAAACTTAGGTGCGTAATCACGCGCCTGGAGAGTTTTTGCGCTTTTGTTGCCAAAAACAAAAAAAAACAAAAAAAAAACGGAATTTGTTTTGCACTCTTTTTAATAATTAATCATATTCGGAAATCTGACAGCAACGCGACGTTCTGAACAGGAAAAGTTGTCTAAACTCACTTTTTCCAAGTTTCACTATGGCAGAAGGGGATTACTACACTATGGGCAACCGACAGAGGATTCCACGGGATCCGTTCCGGGAACAGTCACTCGCATCTCGCTTTATGGAAGATGACTTTGGACTGCCACCCTTTCCCGAAGAGTTGTCGATGGAATGGCCCGGCTGGGCGAGACCTCGGCTGAGCGCCCGCCTCGACGCCCCGTGGTCGGGCTCGTTGCGCACGGGCTTCCCGCGGACGAGCATGGGCTCGCCGCAGGGCTTCAGCTCCATGTACAGCAGCGAGAGCCCTCGCCGATCCAGCGCGCCCCCGACCAACCCAGACGAGCCGTGGAAAGTGTGCGTGAACGTGCACAGCTTCAAACCTGAGGAGCTTAATGTCAAAACTAAAGACGGTTTTATAGAGGTGTCAGGTGAGAAAACACTTCCAATCATTGAGAAGAATGAGTTATTATGAGAATACAAAGTTAATTACATTTCTTTAATAATGAATCATGGAATATGAATGGAATAGGCTATAATTTACATTTGTGCATTTACCAGACGCTTTTATCCTAAATAGAGGAGCATTAAACAGTTCGTCATAAGCATATCAATTACTATGAAACAAATGCAACTTTTTTTTACGTATCACCTACCCATTTTTGGTAGTTTTTAGTCATTATTCATATATTAATATGGCCCTTTCTTACAAAATAATAAATAACAAATATTTCTGCCAAGCATGTATGCATTTGTATTTATGTATTTTGTTATTTCATATAGCACACAAATCATTTAAATTGAATTAATTTAGTTCTGTTTATTAGTTTACTAGTTTATTAGTTTATGTATGTTTTATGTCCCATTTAATTGCTTTAATATTTTATATATGGCCTTTTGGACCCCATGTTCCATAAATCTCTGCTGCTGTCTCTCCGCTGCAGCTTGAGAATGGAAGGCCTTTGGTTTGAGTATGACTTGCACATTATCAGCTAATCTCTTGTAATCAGTCACCTGCTGAGATCCCTTGAGGACCACTTACATTAAACACATTGAATAAGTCCCATACTTTTCTCTTTAATCACTAAAGTTCTTTTGTAAAAAAAACTGAAATTGTGTATCTATAATGCGGAAAAGTCGAAGGCCAGTTGCTGCCTGCTCCAGAAATACATTCTGTTGACTGTGACGGCAGGACAGAAGTTCAGAGTTCAGGAGAGAGCAAAGGCCTGGTGTGCAGGGATTAATATAAACACTGTGCTGGTATTCCAGCTGGGTCACTCAGTCACAGTGGGAGGAGGGTGGGGACAGCGAGACTTAACGTCACATAACCTCTTTCTAAAAGTGTCACACAGAGATATCAAAGTGAACTACCCTACGCACTGTTTTACTAAAGGCCTTTTCACTGAACTCAGATTCTGGTGACCAGTTTTGGACCACCAAAATCAGCAAAACATTTAAGTTCAACATTGCCCTGAAGTAAAGCATTGTCAAACAAATGCCACAGCCATGTTTGAATGTCTGTTAAATAGGGAAAGGCCATTGCACAGTATGTCAGTAGGTAAATCTCTATATATATGGATAGATTTTGCTCTCCGCTTGCGTCCCAGTGTATTTTAAATGGTTGAGTTGTTGATTAGAAATGTTGAAAGTGCTATGAGCAGCATATTAATCGATCAGATGTGTTTGTGGTCAAAGTGTTTTCTAAAGAGCCGGTTATTGTAGATATGTAGGCCGCGCCGAGACACAATATGGCATGACTGGCATTTAGTGACCAACAGCTGCAGAGAATGAGGCCAAGAGGCTTTTAAACAGGCTTTCTTGGTTTGAAATACTACCAAATCATATATAGTGTTGCCTTTGCAATGTCTGTAAAAGGAAATGCCTTATATCCCATGTCTAGAAAATTTATTTTATGTCAGTGTGGCAAAGGTTACACTTCTGTGAGCAACCAGTGCGGGGATTCACTTCAAGAAACCTGTTGATGTTGTGTTTAAAAGCAACATCTTTTTCGAAATAAGTTCTTATCCACAAGTGTGGTCGTATCGATCTCTGCGTTAACAACCGCCTTTTTGTCTTTTCACCAGGGAAACACGAGGAAAAGCAAGACGAGGGAGGAATTGTTACCAAAAACTTCACGAAGAAAATTCAGTAAGTAGGATGATTGTATCAAAAGTTTCCGGGGGCTTCTGATTTGGAACCTTCTAGAATGATGAAGCAACTTCCAGAGGAATGTCACTCTGAGTTATTAAAGCAACACAAAGCATTGCTACTCCTCCACCCGCCCCAACCTCTCTGCTTTCTTCTTGCTCTTCAGAGAGTCAAATTGGATGGTAGAGGCAGAGGAAAATAATCAAAGTTAGAGATAAAATAGACAACATATCATGTGGCTCCGATGTCTGCAGTAATTAAGAGATATAGTGATTTGATTTTTTCCCCTGTCGACATGCTGTTTCTCTGACAGAGACACACAGAAATAGACTCTAAGAAAGAAAGAGAGTTTCATTATTGAACAAATCCTGCACTTTTTACACTATTGTTCAAATGTTTGGGGTCAGTAAAATCCGAGAAAGATCTTTTATTCGGCAAGGGAAAAAAATGAACACAAAAAAACAGTAAAGACTTTTATAATATTAGAAAAGATGAACTAAAATAAAACCTTGAATCACAGTTTCCACATAAATATGAAGCTATGATAATAATAAAAAAAATGTTTCTTAAGCACCATATCAGCATATAATGATTTCTGAAGGATCGTGTGACACTGAAGAGTAATAGATGCTGAAAAATCAGCTTTGCCATCACAGGAATAAATTACATAAAAAATATATTCAAATAAAAAACTGTTATTTTAAATGTTAATATATATTCGCAATATTTTTACTGTATTTTTGATATAATAAATGCAGCTTTGAGTATAAGAGGCTCCTTTCAAAAATATTAAGAAATCTTACCGACCCTAAACTTTTGAACGATAGGTATGATTAATAATGAAAGCTTCCTCTCATGTTTTAACTAAGTCTTTCTTCTATATCCAATGTAAACTGCTTAGCTAATTTGATGTTGACAGGCCATATTGGTTGTGTAAAATTCCAACACTTGAACATTAGCATACTGCTAAACTAAGCTAAGAACACACACTTATAGAAGATACAGGCCACGCATAAATTACATTGAGCTTTTTTATTAATAGCTTTCAGCTATTGAATGAAATCTCAATCTCTGCCATTTCTGTGATGTCTGAGTGATGTCTGAGTCACAGTGCAGGGCGGCTATAGCATTGCTGTGCTAATTGAATACTGTCAGGCTACTGCAGTCGGCATGTAAGGTTTATATAAACTCAGCAGACGCTTGGCAACAAGTGTGAAACCTTCCAGCCTTATTTGGCCATGATGACTGACAAAGCTCAGGGACACTCTCTCTCTCTCTTTATCTCTCTCTGTTGTGTTCTCTCTCTCTCTCTCTCTCTCTCTCTCTCTCTCTCTCTCTCTCTCTCTCTCTCTCTCTCTCTCTCTCTCTCTCTCTCTCTCTCTCTCTCTCTCTCTCTCTCTCTCTCTCTCTCTCTCTCTCTCTCTCTCTCTCTCTCTCTCTCTCTCTTACACTCTTTCATTCACTCAACATTCATAAAAATAAAACAGTAGCCTATACAGAAAACCTTAGTGAGCTAACTTGGTAGCATTTTAAAGTATCAGGTGTCAATAACATTACATTCTTCTTCTAGCCAAATTCCTTGTCGAGGAAGCACTTACTGATAGGGTTTGGGATCAGTAAGATTTGTTTTTATTTATTTTTTTGAACGAAATTAATAATTTTATTCAGCAAGGATTTATTAAATCGATCAAAAGTGACAGTAAATGGTAAATGGACTGCATTTATATAGCGCTTTCACAGACCCAATGGCCACCAAAGCACTTTACATTTGCCTCACAATCACTCACCCATTCACACACCGACGGCGGTGTCTGCCATACAAGGCGCTATCCAGCTCGTCGGGAGCAGCCGGGGTTAGGTGTCTTGCTCATGGACACCTCGACACTTGGTCAGGTGGAACCGGGGATTGAACCACCAACCTTTCGGTTCGCAGACAACATGAACCATTATTTATACAATAATAAGTGTATAAATAAATATCATCCAGAATTATAGCCACGTTAATAACGTTTGTAAGAAACCAAACCGTTTGTAAATCCGTCAAGATTTCAACGAGATAAGAGTATTTGTGTTCGTGCTGATCACTCATCTTACATCAGGTACCACAGAGGGAGCCCGCCAGAAAGCTTGCCTGTGACAAGATGGCCGCCGGTGATGACGATAGAGACTCCGCCGTAAGACATCTAGACTTTATTATGGATATCTATGGATAAAACACCACCCCCGCAGAAGAAGATCAACGCCAACTTCAACACGGCCGGTTTAGCCCCGCCCACCGATTCGCGCATTACACGAAACTCATTATAATATGCAAAACTGTTATCCACTCAAAGCAGTGGGCGTTTACTTCCAAGTCTTTAATGCGAGACGCCCATAAAAACCGAGCGTTTTTGAGCTAGGCTCAAAACTAGGGTAGAAACTAGCCTATTACTTATTCATTTTGATGTTTTTGAATGTAAAAACCAAGCGAACGTCATAAGTTGACCTCAGACAACAATATAAAACAATTTAAAAAGCCAGTTCATGACCCCTTTAAAATTAAGAAATGAAGGGCTTAAATACACAGACAGGGTAAAGGTAAAACAGAACAGGTGTCGAGCTAATGAATAACCAAGAAAGCTAACTAGGGAACAGAACTCAGGCAAAGCAGAACAGGGAACAGAATAAAAACACAACGAGGCTAAACAGACATAGAACTACACGTTACAATATTGCTGATTGTGAGAATTCATTTACACTCACCGGCCACTTTATTAGGTACCCCATGCTAGTAACGGGTTGGACCCCCTTTTGCCTTCAGAACTGCCTCAATTCTTCGTGGCATAGATTCAACAAGGTGCTGGAAGCATTCCTCAGGGAGTTTGGTCCATATTGACATGATGGCATCACACAGTTGCCGCAGATTTGTCGGCTGCACATCCATGATGCGAATCTCCCGTTCCACCACATCCCAAAGATGCTCTATTGGGTTGAGATCTGGTGACTGTGGAGGCAATTTTAGTACAGTGAACTCATTGTCATGTTCAAGAAACCAATTTGAAATGATTAGAGCTTTGTGACATGGTGGAAGTAGCCATCAGAGGATGGGTACATGGTGGCCATAAAGGGATGGACATGGTCAGAAACAATGCTCAGGTAGGCCGTGGCATTTAAACGATGCCCAATTGGCACTAAGGGGCCTAAAGTGTGCCAGGAAAACATCCCCCACACCATTACACCACCACCACCAGCCTGCACAGTGGTAACAAGGCATGATGGTTCCATGTTCTCATTCTGTTTACGCCAAATTCTGACTCTAACATCTGAATGTCTCAACAGAAATCGAGACTCATCAGACCAGGCAACATTTTTCCAGTCTTCAACTGTTCAATTTTGGTGAGCTCTTGCAAATTGTAGCCTCTTTTTCCTATTTGTAGTGGAGATGAGTGGTACCCGGTGGAGTCTTCTGCTGTTGTAGCCCATCCGCCTCAAGGTTGTGCGTGTTGTGGCTTCACAAATGCTTTGCTGCATACCTCGGTTGTAACGAGTGGTTATTTCAGTCACTGTTGCCCTTCTATCAGCTCGAACCAGTCTGGCCATTCTCCTCTGACCTCTGGCATCAACAAGGCATTTCCGCCCACAGAACTGCCGCTCACTGGATGTTTTTTCTTTTTCGGACCATTCTCTGTAAACCCTAGAGATGGTTGTGCGTGAAAATCCCAGTAGATTAGCAGTTTCTGAAATACTCAGACCAGCCCTTCTGGCACCAACAATCATGCCACGTTCAAAGTCACTCAAATCAACTTTCTTCCCCATACTGATGCTCGGTTTGAACTGCAGGAGATTGTCTTGACCATGTCTACATGCCTAAATGCACTGAGTTGCCGCCATGTGATTGGCTGCTTAGAAATTAAGTGTTAACGAGCAGTTGGACAGGTGTACCTAATAAAGTGGCCGGTGAGTGTATATTGTTTAGTACAATTAATTTATCAAGCATTATCCAAACACAGCATTCGTCTCTCGAATCTCTAAAGCAGCCCTAAAAGTTCCCCCACCCTTTAGACTTTTGTCGTGGAAGACCAGCAGGAAGTAGCTTTGTATGATATCATCATCCATTCATGTTTAAAACAAGTTCCACCCTTTCTCTGTAGAGCAGATATGAATTTATGTTAATCCAGCCTTAAAGGCATCACATTCAAACAGACAGTGAGAACTCCTCTCATTAAAACGGCTGCAGTCAGTCTGCCTGCTGGATGATTAGACTAGTGTGTAGATGGAAATTTCTGGTGATAAACTTTGCATCAGGAGGCGATTTGTAATAATTGGCAACAGATTCTATTTCTGAGCCAGCACCTGGAGCAGGGCTCCCTCGCTCACTCTCTCTCTCTCTTTCTCATTGCAAGTGATGGGAGGCAGAACATTAAAATGAAAACCACAAAATGCATTGAGAATTATCTTCTAGCCACAAGCTGCCACAGAGAAAATGAAGTTTGTTGAAAATTATACCAAAATGAGAATATACGGAGTAGGGCATAGTGTTTGCAATTTACATGATGATTCCCATTCTGGGTTAAATATTAACCTAAAGACTTGAGTTAGACCTCAGTTAATCTGAGTTATGTTCAGACAATTCTGTGTACATGTAGATGTTAATATTAAACTGACCATTGTCAAGTTCTTATTGTAACATTTGGTTTCAAGCTTTGTTTCAGTGCAGGTGCAAGGTACAATCAAAAAGCACTTTTTAAGTTGCAAAATATGGGGTGCATTATTAGATATCAAATATGTATCAATGTACAACCACATTTAAAAGGATAGTTCACCCAAAAATTTACTTAAGGCCTTCTGAAGTGAAAATTGAAAAAGTAGAAAGTAAAGTAAGAAAAATATCCATATTTAAAACTTTATGAACTAAAATAACTAGCTTCCGACCGGCAGACCGCCGCACGCATCAATTTATGGTGAGAGATTAACCCCTGACCTGACGCATGATGTTTTGACGAACGCGGAAGTGCAGAGGATAGAGCAAAACAAAACACCGGTCACGAATTAGAAGTCTAAAACGACAATTCATAAAGAGAAATGTCGGAGGATTTCGATATAAGAGAAATGGAGCTTGAGTTTGTTGCCAAGCCCTATTTGTTTGAATTGCGAGAGGCATCAAAGCTTACAATACACCTACATCTAAACAAAAGAGGGGTTACTCTTTGGCGAAAGTCGACTTGCGTAGGCCGTCTGCCGGAAGCTAGTTATTTTAGTTTTTAAAGTTTTAAAAATGGATATTTTTCTTACAAAAACCCATCGCTTTGCTTCAAAAGGCCTTTATTAACCCCCTGGAGTTGTATGGATTACTTTTATGATGGATGGATGGATTCACTTTTTTAGGCTTTAAAATCAGGACCGCCATTCAACCATCTATGGTTCCATAAAGAAACTTAAATATTCATGGAACCTTTCCATTGCACAAAAGGTTATTTAGCGGATACAAAGGTTCTTTAGATTATAATAAAATTGTTCTAAGAAAAAAATGGTTCATTGAAAGATTTTTTGGGGGATCCAGACATTCTATGTGGGCAAAAAATCCAGTTTTAGAACCTTTATTTCTACTGGTGGAAAATGGACATCGTTCAGAACTCTCTCTTTTTTCACAGAATCCCATCTGATGTGGACCCAGCCACTGTGTTCGCCTCTCTGTCTCCGGAAGGTGTTCTCATCATTGAAGCCCGACAGACCCCTCCATACTACCTCTACAGCAACGAAATGCCCGCAGAACCCATGGAAGAACCTGAGGCCAGACCGCAGGAACCCAGCATGGCTTCAACTCCAGTCTTTGATGTCAGGGAGTGAACTGGTGTTCGCATGCCTATGGTATTTGTTCCAAGCCAGTGTTAAAATCTAGATTCATCAGTTTCAAAAAATTACTTAAATCAAAAGTCATTAATCTGCTAGTGAATAGTTCATAAATTAAATGTTACTCTACATAGTATATGGTTGGATCAAATACCAGAAGCTTTCAGTTACTATATCAATGAAGATAAACAAATGTGATAGAGCTACCGGTGAAGTGAGAAGGAAAAGGTGTGAAATGGGATGAGACCAGGCCCAATTTCTGTACAGCTGGAAACAGGCATGGAAACATGTACGTAGATGCGAATGCATGGTCAACATTGTAATGTCACATCTCATTGTATATACTTAACCTGCATTCCTCTCAGTCCTAAAGTTCCCCTCAAATGTCAACAATTAAATGGATTATTCACCCAAAAATCATCTCTTATTCTCCTACATGTTGTCCCAAACCTGTATGGCTTTCTTTCTTCTGTGGAAAACAAAAGCAAAAACCTTTTTTTTTTCTCCAAACAATAGTTTCAATAGGATCCAATGCTGTTTTAAACCCATTTGACTTTCATTGTATAGACAAAAAAGGTCTTCAGAGCATTCTTTAAAATATCTTCTTTTGTGTTCACCAGAAGAAAGTCATACAGGTTTGAAATGACATGAGGGTGAGTAAATAATCTCTTAATTTTAATTTGTCCCATCCTTTTATCTCATTTGCTTGGTAAGTTACGATTCTCTTAAAACTGTTGCTCCGCCATGCCGATCTCATCAAGTAAGATGACACTGAGAATCCGATGTGTGCTTGAGTTGAGTTATAAATTCCATTCAGACACATTTCGGATGTGAAATCAAGCTTTGATGTTGAAATTGAATGTTTTTAGAATATGTTATGGACTTTCTGTCCCTCATTTAAACCTAATCTTGTTTTGTCCCTGAGTTCGAATGAAGGCCCTGTTTGAATAATCTGAATTTTTGTCACATTGGACTATTTATATGAAGGTCTTCTCTGAGAACTGGGCCTGAATGCTGGAGCTCTTTCTCAAGTGCTGTTTATCGTGTATTCTTTCTTTCTTTCTTTATTTGTGGGTGTTATTTTTTCTTTTTGTGTAGGGATGTATGCTATGCGTTTTTATAATAAATGATTTTACGAAAAGCAAGCCTTTTATTACTCCTCTCTGCAAATCTCAATCAAGTTAATAAATGGGCTGCATTACACATAGAAGCGATATTATTTCTCAGCTTTACACCTGTTTGCTTATCCCACTTGTATAACCTTCGGATGTTTTCGAGTAATACATCGAGCATCATGCTCTCCTTCGGTTGTCTCTGTCGCACAATCCTCTGTCCTCGATCACATCTGGGTGTTCGGATGGCAGATTGGCTGTGTGCTTATGGGAACGACTCCATGGGAGTTGTCTCTGCACGGTGGCGGTAATTGGGTGACAGATTAGTGTGGAGATTATTCCGAACGCTTTGGCTCACTTTCAATCTTCTCCACGAGGATGTGGAGAGAAAATATTGAAGAAAACGCTCTTTAAATCGATCCGAGCTCTCTCGTTGTCTAATTCTCAGAGTTTGAGGTTAATGAGTCACGAATATTACCGTGCTCAAGAGGAGCTGGCATCATAACCACCCGAGTTAGATGAGAATTATACAATATTTACTAGAACTCAAGGGATGCAATATGCAACCATATTCACTGCATAAATGATTCATGTAAAATTCTCTAAGCACAACAGAAAGTCAACTAGGTGCCAATGTGACAGATTTCCGTCTATCGCCTATGTTTGAACATTTCTCAGCTTTCCCTGATTAATCATTCTTGTTATTGTAAGCAGAAGAAGCTTCACACAATCGTGCTCAGGTCTTTATTAGTGCTAAGAGGATGCATATTACAGTAAACTCAAAAACATCTATGGGAATTAAGAGGCTAAGGCTATATCTACATTCATCCCGATACATTTGAAAACAATTTTTTTTCTTTGGCCTTCCGCTTACACTGAGACAGTGTGTCCTGCGAAAACAAGGCTTATTGAAGACGCTCTCCCAAAGTGATACATTTGAAAACACCTGAGGTATTCGAAAATGACAACGCATGTTAAGTCATGTGACGCCTTTTGTACCAATATACACTGCCCGGTCAAAAAAAAAAAGTCGCTGTTTGGATTTAAATAAGCAAATGCATTGTCAATACAAGAACTTGACCAAAAAATGATCAAGAGATGCATCATTTTTTGGTCAAGATCTTGTATTGACAATACAAGAGTCCAGCACTCTGTAAAGTCTCATCCAGCACATCCCAACGATTTTCAATGACTCAGAGGCGCCAATTCATGTGTAAAAATAATGATTCTTCAAGCTCCCTACCAACCACTGTTTCACAATCTGAGCCTGATGAATCTTGACATTGTCATCCTGGAATATGGCCATGATGCGTCTTCCTACATGGTTGTATAAAAAATGAAAAGCTACACACTCCATCAATTAGGGAACAGTTGCCATATATAACATATAACATGCTAGAAACATAATAATCACTGCAATAATCATCCAATCATAGACTCTTAAGCATTTGCCTATTTAAATCCGAACAGAGACTTGGCCGGGCAGTGTATATATCTGTTTATACCGGTATGTGCCTGCTATGTGGAACTGTATTCACTTTCACAGTGTTGCTTAAGAACAATGTTACTTTGTACAATCTTCATATTACATTTCTGGAAATTCAATGTCAGCAAAACACTAGGGCAATCGTGTTTTAAACCACGTAATGGCAATTGAGTGCGACCTGGATGCGCCAGTAAGTGGTGAAATATTTTGTTTATACAATTATCGCACCAGAATAGCGTGAAAACGTTGTCTGGTATCATCTCAGTAAGCTTTTTACATATTATGCATGCACAGAAAGATCATTTTAGCATTTCTGATGGTTCAAAGTGGACAAGAAACTTTGAGAAAACGCTTGAAAACAGTAGTATGGACAAAGAAACTGCCATTTTCAAATGTATCTGGATTAATATAGACGTAGCCTAAGGAAAGAGCTGGGGATGTTGTTTTTCTGTAGCCTACATTTTCTCTACATCCATTTTCTTTTGGAGCTCCAGCTGAGGGTTGAACACCTCCTGGGTTTGCCCAAAGGTTGGTTGCTCATCTTCTGTCATGGCAGGGTCTGTATATCCTTCTTCACCCTCCAGTTCCCGAGGCTGCGTGACCTCTGCCTGCTCTCCTTGCTCGGAGGTGATGGTGTCTGGAGTCTCTGGAGCCTGAGGCTTGTCTGCAGACTCATGGACTTCCTCCGTGTCTCGCTCGATGCCCTCAACCACCTCTTGAATAGTACCTTCTTTGTCCTTCTCTATGCCATCACTGGGTTCTCCAACCTGCTCTTTTCCAGACTCAAAGGCTCCTGGTGCAGCTTCTGTGATGGACTGGGGTTGTGGCTCTCTAGATGGATCTACATCAGATACAGTCTGCTGGTCTCGTTCGCCCTCAGGACGCTCAGTTGAGACAGAGGGTTCGAGAGTTTCTCCCTCAAATGATTCCGGTTTAGCCTCGGCTTCAATGGCGTCTTGAGGCTCGTTGCCGTCTTGTTGTTTTCCTCCCACGGCTTGTGGCTCCATCTCAACCTGTGGCAAACGTGAAACAGTTTTCAAATCAAGTCAAGTGCTTAAATGCCAAATCAAGACCCTAAAATGCCAGGGTCACTGTACACAAAAATGATTAATTTTCTGGGTGGTGAAGAAAGGCCATACGTCCCCTGCGGGAAAATAAGAGCTTGCATTTAATCTCTTTGTTGGTTATTAGAACAATTATGAGCCTGGTAATTGGAATTGCAGGGTGATTAATTTATAAACTGACTTCGACTTTGGCATTTGATGTTTATGGGCCATTGTAGAATCGTATAACTCTAATTATTTCTGAAATCTTTTTTGAAGTAATGTAAAAAAAAAAACATTTTGTTTTGCAGCCTGTTATGGCGGCACGGCTTAACGGTGCTGCAAATTGGCGTAAGTTGAATAAGACATGCAATGGGTAAACAATATCTGCCATTTTTAAAGCATGATGACCACATTCTCTGCAATAATATAATACAACAATACAATTGAAATAATACATTTTGAGATGACCTTTTCCCCCTACTTTTCCCTGCAAATGCAAATAGCTGTCAGCTTTTTAACATTAGTCTGGCTAAAATACAGCACCTGAGAGACAGTTACTCTACCTGCGATGTCTACCTATTATACAAGACCAATTAAGTACTGGAGAATGAATGGCTAGTGTTCAACCTTGGATTTACCTAGAAAAGTTTTCAATAGTGACAACAATAGTGCCACTTCACTATGAATGACAGAAAGCACCACTTAAATATAAGGATGACACATTTAATAACTTAGAAACAAGTGCAATGCATGCCACCCAGAACACTGAGTGCCTAATTTTGAGCTTCAGTTAGTGAATAAGTTCGGACTGCATTATTAAAGATTTAACGGCTGTCAGAGCCAATCAATACCTGGATAGGGATAATGACATCAGCAGGGAGGGGAATGCTGGGTAATGGTACTTCCACTGTAAGGATCCCATCGGCGGACAGAAGCGACTGGAGATTTTCAGCATCAATCCCACCTGGAAGTCTTAGGCAGTGGTGAGAAAAAAATCCATAAATTTGCTTTTGTTGATATAGACAGCTTTGTGACAATTTGACACAATTGCACAGTGAAATATTATATTCTATAACAGAATAAAATAGACATTGAGTTAATATTTTGTTTTTAAATAAATTAATACTTTTATTCAGCAATTAATTCACATTAAATTGATCAAAAGTGACAGTAAATACATTTTATAATGTTATAAAAAATTATTTTGAACTTTTTATTCATCAAAGAATCCAGAAAAAAAAAAAGAATCACGATTGTCAAAAATATTAAGCAGCACAACTGTTTTCAGCATTGATAATAATAAGAAATGTTTCTTGAGCAGAAAAATCAGAATATTAGAATGATTTCTGAAGGATCATGATGCTGAAAATTCAGCTTTGCGTCACATGAATAAAATACGTTTACAAGTATATTAAAATTGAAAACAGCTATTTTGAAATGTAATACTATTTCACAATATTACAGTTTTTACTGTATATTAAATCAAATAAATGCAGCCTTGGTGAGCATAAGACACATTCAAAAACTTTATTTTTTTTAACAGTAGTTCAGATATTGTGTAGTGTGCATAAACACTTACTTGTATTTTCGTGCAAAACATCTAGCAATGTAGCCGTGCTCATCTTGTCTTTCTTCATGCTTTCCTTTGGAACAAATATTTTAACACAAAATGATTGAGATTGATTAGCTCAAATAAGAGCATAATATATTTTTTAAATCATATTAAATATTTAAAAAAAATTATAAATTATAAAATGTACAATATCTCCAGGCTTATTCTGTTTTGTAGACTAATTACATGTATAATTTGTTATCTGACATTGAATTCTGTTGAAAAGCTGAAATT